CAGGTGCCTACACACTCACACACACACACATAGCTCTGCACAGCTGTGTGCACACACCCACACACGCACACACGTGTCCGTCAGCTCTGGTGCCGTGGGCGATGTATGCGTGAAGGCTATATGGGACGTACACACTGTGTTTCTAGAAATTAGATACAACAATTGTCCCTTGGAGAACTTTTACTGAAACACTATGAAATTCTTAACATGAAGATAACATGTCACCTTTCTTCGCTTTCTTGGTGACTTGTTGGAGTTTCTGCCTGGCTCACCTGCAGCGGCTGCTGGGGGCTGTGGTGCCAGCCGGCTGGTTTGCCATCCTTACCAGTCCCCTCCCGCGTTTGGGCCGTCGACTTCCTACAGCTTATGTGCTAAATTACAGCACATTACTGGGTGACATGAGGCAGCAGCTCCACACGCCTCTCCTTCCTGGGCTCGTGGTCCTTCCCCATCTTCAGAGCCAGCAGCCCGGCCACGTGGATCCCGGGCTCTGCTCTTCTGCCTCACCTTCCATTCTCCAGGAGCCTCGTGATGACCTTGGCCCCCAAGGATGACCCAGGGCCTTTCACCATGTCCACAAACCTGCCCCTTCCTTTACACCACAGCACAGAAGTCAGAATTTCTCCAAACTTTAAAAATCTTCAGTTTTCTGTGTAATTTTTCATTCAATTCATGAATCCTTAGAAATTTTTAAATACAAATTTTTAAAAAATGGATGGAATTGGGAAGATGCTTGCATTTCTGTGCAAGAGAAGAAATGTCTATGTTATTCATCTCGGCTTCTCCCTTTGAAGTTCTGTCTCTTGCCTACCACTGATCGGCTCAGATGCCCTTGTGGGGAGACCAGGAGCCACACACCCCCCGCTCAGCTGCTCCGAACACCTGCTTTTTGAGACCAGGCCCTGCTCCCGTTTCCTCCACAGCTTCCCACAGGGTTGGTCTGCAAGCTTTACAGATGGAAACTGCACGCACACAGACACAGACACATGCGCGTGCGCGCACACACACACACACAGCAGAGAGCATCCACAGGGAGAGGACCAGTGGGACTGCTGAGGACGAGTCCCACACCTTCTTTCTGTCCAATCTCATTTGATGTCTGAATTCAGACTGACGGTCCAACACTGTGCAAAATGCCACGATACGTCAGGGCTGTAGGAGATGAGCTCTACTTCACAAAATCATTTCTCCAGTAAAGGCTCTTCAAACACCACCACAACCTCAGTGCACCCCGGCAGGGGGAACTGAGGCTCAGACAGTCTGAGAGGCCAAAGATCTCACAGCCAGTGTGCGGCCCACGTGGGAACCGAAGCCTGTGTGTGTGTTTGTGTGTGCACATGCGTGTGTGTGAGACAGAGAAGGGGAGAGCGAGGGGAGGAGGGAGACCCAGAGACAGTTCAGAGGAAAGTTTTTTTTTAAGTAGATTTTTTTTTTTAAAGATTTTATTTATTTATTCGACAGGCAGAGATCACAGGTAGGCAGAGAGACAGACAGAGAGAGAGGGGGAAGCAGGCTCCCCGCCGAGCAGAGAGACCGATGTGGGGCTTGATCCCAGGACCCTGGGATCATGACCTGAGCCGAAGGCAGAGGCTTCACCCACTGAGCCACCCAGCCGCCCTGTAAGTTTGTTTAAAAATACGACTAGCGAGATCACGGTCTATCTTCAGTCTTCAGATGGGTGGAAAGCCTCGAGAGAAGCAGGCTTGCCGACTGTACGACACGATGCGTGCTCAGGCAAATCCAGATGGCGGCCTTCACTTTTTGAAACTGTGGTAAAGGCCAAGCCACGTGTTCAGCACGAACATGAGACAGGGATGAGGAGGTACAGACTGTCGGAGGAGCTGGCGGCCTCCTAGAGGCAGGTGCAGTGGGGCTGGGCTCTCTGGACGTGACCCCTGCGTGGGGCTGGCGGGCAGACCCGCACCTGAGCACCAACTCCCTGGCCCTCCGTCTTCAAACCTCCAGCAAGCACAGTGCCGCGCCTGCCTCTGGGCCTCTCTGAAGTGCGAAACGATGGCCTTCTGTGTTCTTCGACGTCAGTCACGAAAAGGAGAGCTGAGGTTCGTTCTGCAGCCATAACGTGAACAAATCACCCCAAGCAGTTTTTTTTTTTTCTTTTAAAGATTTTATTTATTTATTTGACAGACAGAGATCACAAGTAGGCAGAGAGGCAGGCAGAGAGAGAAGGGGGAGCAGGCTCGCCGCTGAGCAGCCAGCCTGATGTGGGGCTCGATCCCAGGACCCTGAGATCATGACCTGAGCCGAAGGCAGAGGCTTAACCCACTGAGCCACCCAGGCGCCCCACAAGCAGTTTCTTTCAAAGGTTTTATTTATTTGAGAGAGAGAGAGAAAGAGAGCCCAAGAGCGAGGGGAGGGGCCAAGGGAGAAGCAGGCTTCCTGCTGAGCAGGGAGCCCGATGTGGGACTCGATCCCAGGACCCTGAGATCATGGCCTGAGCTGAAGGCAGATGCTTGACAGCTGAGCCACTCAGGAGCCCCTGCACATGTTAGTATTTATAAGAATTAAAATAATCTATGTATTGGGTTGGATATCATCATACTGATGAAATTAAAAGTTTGTCCTGATCTTAATAGACACAACAAAGATTTATTATTATTATTATATTAAGCTAATAAAAAGTAGTGAAGTCTCTAGAAATACGTCTGCCTGTGGAAGACATAAATAGAACTTGTGGAGGTGATTTACGTTAGTGCTTCCCGCACACACTCGTCCGGTGGACGACTACTGAAGGCGAGCAGAAGGCAGCCATTTCAGTAAGGTCCAAGTTAGACAAATATCAACAGATATTCATTACTAAAAAATAAATTACTAAATGGATATACAGTCATTTGTTTTCTTCTATACAGAGAATTCGCACGTACTTCAGAGGTCTCTCATTTCAAAGGTCCCTTATTTCTGAAGTGTATAACGGGAGTGAGTAGAAAGAAACAAGGTCTTACGTTGTCATTTTGTGGAAAGACCGAGTTCTGAAAGTAAAAGTCTCTTAATTGACTTTAGAAAAAGAGAAATGATGGTCCCCGAGGAACTTCGGTAAGAATTTGGAGGCTCAAGAAAACACTTCGGCCTAATTTTGAAGACTCTCAGAACTCATTCTAAAAAAGCAATGCTTTGGAAGACAGGAGAGAGGGATGTGTCCCAAAACCCCATAGGCACGTAGCTCCGCACCTGTAATGTCAGGCTGCAGACACGTTTCCAAACACATGACTCAGTGGAGAACGGGAATGTGTGGCTTTTGGGTTGTGGTCACTATCTCCCAACGTGACACTTACGTAAGGACACTTCCTAACTTACAAAGATGTCACAACATAACTTACATCCCCTTCGTAATCACATGAAAATCTCCACCTGGACTCTGTGAGTAGAGACACGGATGTTGTTAATACGCTTTGTTAGATTAAGAGAAAGAGAGGAGGCCCTCCGAGTGTACGTCTGGTGACAGCAGAGCCCAGGCCGGCTTTGCCTTCGTGGGCCGGCTTGGTGTGCGGCCGCGGGCCGTCGGAGAGGAGCAAAGTGAGACTGTGTTCAGCCGAGCCCCTCTGTTCCCCGCCATGCAGAGCGGGGGCGCGTGCCCTCCTGCTCTGCGTACTTGCCGTGGAATGCGTCCGTACTTGATGGATTCTGGCCCGAAACTGCCTTGGAGCTGCCTCAAAAAAGCAATGTGACCTTGACCAAATGACAGACTCAGCCTCGAGAAGCGGGAGGTTGGGACTGACCATTGCACGTCCCTCTCCCAGTGTCGGATCCTCTGCAGAAAGGGTTCAGCCGGCAGCGGGCACAGATGCGCACGCCCAGGTCACACCCGCATGTCCCGTGGTTGGGAGACACAGCCGGACACAGACCCGGCCTTCCGCACCCCTCCTGAGGGTGACCTTGACTGGGTTCACGTGGGAGCAGCTCACGGCCCCCCTGCGGACCCCAGGGGCTCCTTCCCCACCAGGCACATTCAGCTGCGGCCACGGGATGGACACCTGATGCGTTTCCAGCACACGGGACACTTGAATAATGATCTGTTCTGGGGGATCATGAAGGCACAGAAGTTTCAAGAATTACTGCAGGGACAGTGGAGGAGTGTTGTAGACACTCAGTGTCCAAGGAACCGAGGGGAAAGCCACGGGTCCTGACAGAGGTGAGGACAGAGAGAACTTGGGCCAGGGGCCACCTGCCATCTAGTGGCCGGACCTGGGGACGGACGACTCTGCAAGGACGGTGGGCGTCACCAGACCTGGTCCTGGAGTGGCAAAGACTCCAGTTACCAACGCAGACCGTAAGCCCGGCGCAGCCAGCAAACCTCGGGCGTCAGAGAGCAAGGACAGACTGAAGGGGACGGTATAAATAATGAGCAATCGCGCTGTGCCCCTACTGTCTGACCCACGGAAGCCGGCATGACCTGTGGCATGACGTGGGTCGGTCAATCACAGTTCGTCGCACTTCGCAAACAGACGACCGGGACGGAGGGAGGAAGTGCTCGCCCACCGTCACAGAGCGCTGCGGGACGTAAAAGCAGGCCCAGCGTGGCACACGGCTGCGGCCCCGCTGACCGGACAAACACGGCCTCTTCAAGACCCAGGACCCCTGAAGATCTCCACAGTGGGGGCCACAGGCCGCCACCCCTAGGTGGGACACTTGGCATGAAGCCAGGTGCAGCGGAAGAACAATCTCGACCCTGCAGACTGAGGAAAAGCTCCTCCCCTCCCCCTCCCCTGCCTGAAGAGTTCAGATGGAGGCCCTGGCCCAGGAACGGAGCGGTCACCACACGGGTGTGCAAACCGGGTGTGCTGGACAGGCAGGAACCTGGCCGGACCTGTGGGATCACAGTCCTTTCTGTGCCCCGTTGCTCGTGAGGGGCCACGAAAACGGTTTCATACCCCTGTGAACGGCGTCCCTTCCCTCTGAAATCCCAGAGCCCCACCCCCCTTGCTTGTCCAGAATGACGTGCATATCTTTCTGTTGACTGTCTTTGGAATTGCCATATCTGTGTCCCCCTTTTTTTTTTTTTTTTTACACAGGCTGTCACGCTGGCCTTGGCCCAGTGACTGCCCTGAGCAGAAGAGAAGGCCAACCCAGGAGGGGCAGGACCGAAGGGCCAGAGCCTGGCCTGAGCTGTGATCTGAGGACCCCCATGGGCCCTGTCATGCACCAGATGCTGGAGGAGGCAGGAAGGACCCCACTAGAGCCTGGAGAGGGAGTGTGGCCCTGCGGCACCCTGATTTTGGACTTCTGGCCCCACAGCCGAGAGGGAGGAGACTCCTACTGTTGTACGGGATATTTAGGCTCTTTGGGCAAGGCCTTCGATGCCTTTCTGTCCCGAGACCAGGACCTTCTCTTCGTGGAGTCGCTGCGTTCGGGTATTACCCTCCACGAGGATCTCGTGTCCTCCACACGCTGAGTGCGGGATGAGCACAGGACTACGGGTCAGTGCCCTGGGTAGGCTCAGTCATCGAGAAAGAGAAACGGATCACCCCAAGTGGCACAATGCCACGTGTGGCGTGGCCCTGTGGTCACCGCGCAGAGATCACCAAAGTTGGGATCCATTCCTGGGTTGCAGGAGACAGAGTGGAGCGGCACTTGGGCAGGGCAGTCCCGGGAGCGCTGGATGGCTGGTTTCCGCTCAGGTCGCGCGACCTCAGGGTCCTGAGAGGCCTCAGCATCCCTGGGCTGGCGCTCAGCCGGCCACGGCTTCAGGTCCTCTCCCTCTCCCTCCCCTGTTCACAGGCTCTCTCCGTCTCTCATGAGTAAATAAACGCATCTTTTCTTTTTCTAAATAGAAAACATAAAGTGAAGATGAGATACTAAATTTACTGGGTTTAATCTGTGAAACTTGCATCACCCGTAATGACGGAGTTTCCCACAAGCCCACGTTTAAACCGCTGCGATTCTGCAACAGCGAAAATAGTCAAAAGTAACAGATCTGACTCCCCGTGGCGCTCGGAAGAAACATTCCCCCAACCCCGAGGAACGGTGCAGTTAGAACCTCTGCCCAGACACCCACTCTGTCGCAGACGCGGAACCAGGCAGGAAGGGTCCCCAGGCCGGGCCGGGGACGGGGGGCGGTGCTGCCACCTGCTGGCGCCCAACTGAGCCGCGGTTGGGGCCGCGTCCAGACCGCGGCCCCGCCCCGCGGCTTTCCCGGGCGGCGGGGGGCACCCCCCAGGGAGACGGGGCCCCGGAGCGGGATCAGCAGCTCAGGGTCAGGCTGCGCGTGGGGTCTTCCCCGCGGGGGGAAGCAAGGCCGCGGGCGCCCGACCCTGGCAAAGGTCCCTCGTGCCGGAAACGTGCCTAAAGGATCGCGGGGACGCGGGCGTGGGGAGCAGGGAGGACGCGCCGAGCAGCAGGGTCAGGTGTCCACACCGGGGCCTTCCGGGGTCCCCGAGGGACGGGGAGCGGCAGGGGCGCGCGGGGGTCCCGGAGGGCGCAGACCCCAGGCGTCTGCTCGGTCCCCGACGCCGTGTCGGGCCCCGGGGCGGCCCTGCAGCTGAGTTTCTGCCGGACGCCGCAGCCGAGCCGTCCGTCCTTCCGCCCGCCTGCCCCGCAGGCCGGGCTCCCCTCCGCGCGCGTCCTGCCTCCGCTGCCCCCGGACGCGGGCTGTGCCGCCCACGGGAACACGTGTGTCTCCCGTGAGAGCCCGCAGGGGCCGCGCGCGTCTCACCTGCCCCTGAGCGCGCGGCGGAGGTGGTCAGCCCGGGGTCCGCAGTCACTTCCGGAGGCCCAGGACGCTGGACACGCCGGGTGCCCTGAGGGTACCTGCGAGCCGAGGGCAGGGAGACCGGGAGCCTATTCCCGACGGCGGCCCCCCACGGGCAGGACCTTGACCTGCGCTTGCTGGACGGAACCGCCGGCCCCGCCCCGCGTGCCCAGACCGCGTCCACCCAGTGCCCCGGTGAGGTGCCTGCGCCCACGGGGCATTTGCCAGATGGTCCCCCTCGGTCCCCAGGGAGCGCGGTCGCTGTCCCCCTCTGTCCCCCTGGTCGGGGTCGGAAGCTGGCAGGGATGCCCAGCTGCCTCTGGCTCTGCAGCGCGCCGCCGGTTGGGCCAGGAGACACGCTCACCGGCTCCCTTCCCGGCCCGGGCCGTTGGACACCCGGAAGCCTACCCTCGGGACCCTGATTACAGCATCTTAAAGCCGCAGAATACCGCGAGATGTGGAAGCGGTACCAGGGCCACAGGGAGATATCGCGAGATGTCTGGGAGCAGGCGGGTTTCGCGACAAGTGGAAATCCCGCGAGAGGAGACGCCGGAGGCGTTCCCGGTGTGATCCGACTGGGGCGGGGACCGCGAGACGGCGGTAGTGACGGTGGGCTTTTCCGGGGACGATGCCCTCCGCCTTCTCAGTCAGCTCTTTCCCCGTCAGTATTCCTGCCGTGATCACGGTAACTTGCTGCCTTCTTGACCATCCGTTCGGGCGATGGTACTTGGGGCCACTCGGGATTTGCCCGCATCCGCTATCCACACCGACTACCGCGGAAAGGGGCGGGGCGGCGCTTCTTGGTGGGCGGGAGGCTCGTGGGCGGGGCTTCGTGGTGAGCGGGACCTTCCGGGGCGGGGCTCGGCGGTGGGCGGGACTTCCAGGGGCGGGGCCCGGCGGTGGGCGGGGCGCTGGTGGGCGGGACGTGCTGGGGCGGGGCTTGTCCGGGCTCCGGTGCGGGTCCTGGCGGTGTGGACCGACCGCGGGTGGAGTTGGCGGGCTGTGGGGCGGTGTGAACTGCAGATGCTGCCCTCGCCTGGTCCCCGCCCTCTGCTCCGCCTTTCTCTTCGGGCCCCTCTGCACGATGGTGGGGAACAGGCGGTCGTGGCCAGTTTTCCGTGCGGGGCGGCCGGGGACAGAGTCCCGAGGGCTCTGCGGGACCGGAGGCAGGTCCGGCCTGGTCTGCTGGACAGAAGGGAAGGGCAGGGCATGGATGTGCGCTTGCATCGGGAGGTCTGACGTTGTGGGGGGACCGAGCCTCTGGAAGGAGATCCGGGCATCTGGGTGGGGGGATCGGACCCTGTAGGGCTGTGGACCGTCTCCAGGTGTGGACCGGCCTGTGGGGACGTTGAGGAAACCCCCATCTTGGCACTTGGAAGGTTGCCAGAAAGCTTGGAGAAAATACAATCGGGGAATTGGGACGCCTCCGATCTCCCAAGCCCCGAAGTGTGAGTCTGAGGGAGTTCAGAGTCGTTCTTGTTTCGAGTCTTGGGGTACCAGGGGCCCCCCTGAATGAGACACTCGCCTGCTCAAGTCCTCAGAAACCCACAGACACGACTCTGTTCAGTACACAGGGGGCAAGCCCAGGAGCCTCCGGTGGGAGGTGCCCGCGCAGTGGAGGTGATGCTTCTCTGTAGGCTCGGGGCGGAGGTTGCAGCCTCGTTTCCCCCCCCCCCCCCCTTCTCCAACTCCGGCTTCCTTGAGGCCTGCGGGGACGGCTCTGGCTGCTCCGGCAGAGGGGCCGCTGCCCTCCCTGACCCAGGAGGTGTGAAGCCTGGCCCCGTCTTGAGCTGACGACGACGAGGTGATGGGTCTGGTGCTGTGTCTTCCAGCAGACAGACTGGACCGAGCCGTGGCTCTTGGGACTGGCCGTCTTCCACGTGCTGTGCCTGCTGCTCACGTGTCTGTCCTCCCAGAGGCAGGGACTGCAGGTCGGACATTTCCTGTGCTTGGGTGAGTAGAGAAGCAACACTTCTGTGACGCTGGTCACCGGGATGTGGCCAGCGCCAGGCGGCCTCTCAGCAGAAGCTTGACTTCGCAGGAGAGTGAGGCAGTGTGTGTGTGTTGCTCCAGCAGCCGTGTGTGGAGAGTGATGGGTAGAGTCCGCGCTGCCTTCCTGCCCCGAGGGCTGCCGTCAGGTGCGGCCCCTGGCCCGGGAGAGCTTGGCGGGCAGTGCCAGCGTTCACGAAGTCCTCCCACCTGGTTGCCGTGCTCTCGGCTGTGGTGAGTACGGGCGGCTGATGGAGGGGCCGCCAGCAGCACCGTGAAGGGCCTGGGCAGGCTGCGCAGGAGGCTGACCCTGGCGTGTGCAGGGCCTGCGGCGGGAGCCACGCAGCCTGTGTGTGGCGTGGGGCCCCGGACGAGCACTCCCTGTGGCGAGAGTGGCCTGGGCTCAGAGGAGGGTGAGGGCCTGACCAGGTGCGCTGGCAGGTTAGAGACAGCCTGTGACCCTAACAGCTCTGTGGGGGAGGAGAGGGCTGACTCTGCCCCCTGGGGACAAGGGATAGGGGATGCTCTGCACATGCACGCGTGTTCTGTGACCCGGAGCCGTCCCACCAGCCCGAGGCTGATTTCCTCCCGTGCAGCACCGTTCGCCGCATTTGTGTGGATGCAACACAGAGAGGTTCCCTACCTGCGCACTCAGCGCCGGGTGGCTCAGCGGAGACCCTGACACTGTCGGGTGTGGGAGCCACGCTCCGCTGCACGCCTTCCGGGTCTCAGCCCATCTCCTCCCCTCTTCTCGGTCTCTTCTTGGGCTCTGTTGGTGCCGCTTTGGGTCCATTTATGGAGGAAAGAGTCGGGAGATCGCAAAGCCTGGTGCGATCTCTGTGATTTGGGTCAAGAACAGGAAGTTTTGCACGTTAGTTAATTTCTGTGAGAAATGAAAGCACTGGGTGTCCACAGCTGCTGTTGGCCTGGTGCACCGTGTCGTCGTCTGGAGGCCGGTTTCTGAGCCCCGTGTGCTCGTAGGCTCTGGGTTGGGACCGCAGCAACCGTCTGCTTCTGACTGCAGTGTTCAGGGGGGCCGTGGGGCTCCTGGAGGGCCGTGGCCTCCGGGACCAGTGGGCAGGTGTCCGCAGTCCCTTCTCATGCGTCCCTGGCAGGAGGGAGCATGAGGGAGGAGAGCAGGTCACTTCCCGCACTGGGTCTCACAGCCCGGGGCCTTCTGTGCGGCATCTGGAGGAGGGACCCGAGACCGGGCCGGGTGGGAGTGCAGGCGGAGGGTCGCGCGTGGGCGATGGCTGTCGGGCACCAGCCCTGGGCGCTTGCGGCTTCGTGCTGTTCCGTGGAGACATCGGGGCCGTCCTGTGTCTTGAGCATCCTCCTCTTTTTTCTGTAAAAGGGATGTGTTCTACAACTTAAAAATTCTCTGAATTTGAAACGGAAGTTATGTTTCCCATCAAATTCTTGCTTTTCTGTGATATTTACGTTAAACATATCATTGCAGAAAGAGCGTATGATTCTGTTACGTTGAATAATCAGTCACCCAAGTCCCGACACGTGATTTCTCTCTTTTCCAGTGATTCTGGTGTATTGTGCTGAGTATATCAACGAAGTCGCGGCCATGAACTGGAGGTAGGCCAGCGCCCCGCTCGTCCAGACCGTAGTCGGGAACCCCACTCCAGAGAGGTTCATCCAACAGGGGCACCGCACGCAGACCGCGGGAGCCAGAGAGACGAGAGCAGGCGGGTCATCGGGGCCCCGGGCAGACCAGGGGCGTCTGCACTGATGGGTTAGGGTTGAGGAATGGCTTGTTGGCTATTTTAGGGTCTGAAGATCGGTTAGCACAGTGCATGGCAGCGTGAGAGAGGTCGGGTTTCGTAGTCGCTCTAGCTGCGGCCAGATGAAGCGGTGGTGTTTTAGGAGGGCTTGGGCCACGTGTGGTCAGAGCGGCGGGTGGTGTGCTGCGAGACCCCTGCCCTCTCTGGGCCGGCCGGGTCTTCTCGAGGCCACAGAACGTCATCCTGGCAGAAACCCGGGGCTGCCTTCTTTAGATGGCCACTGCACCCCCACGTGCCTGTGGCCTTGGTCGGCCAGGGCAGCCTGACCGTCACCACCGCGTCCAGCATCACTGCTCTCCGGTCCTCCTCTTCCCGGCTCTCGTTTCGTCCTGCTCGAGTGTCAGGCCCTGTCCCCGGTTACAGCCCTGCGCCCACAGCCACACGTGTGTGCTGGACGTGCTGTGCTGACAGGGAGGGCGATGTCTGGGACCCTCGGCCTCACGCACCAGCTGGGACCCTCGCATGGACGTCTGGAGCGTTCCACAGGCCGCGTTTGGCCCACTGTGTTTATACGACCAGTGACCTTGAAGTGCTTTTGACATTTTTAAGTGCAGAGGTGCTTATGCTCTTAAACGTAAAGAAAAGAGAAAAAGTTGTAGACTCTGAGCAGGAAGGACTTGAAGACCTTCCCGTGGAGCCTGACACCTGGGTGTCCGGGAGGTTGCCGGGCGCTGGGCTAGACGGCTGTGCCTCCGCTGACTGCTAACACCCGCTCGCCCTCCGGCCCCCGCGCCTCCTTACTCAGCCAAGGAATGAGGACACGGAAGACGTGGGACTAGACGACCTCGTCCTCCCTCTGCCTGTCCACGTGCTCCGTGCTTTCGGGGTGTGGCTGTGGCCCTAGCAGCTCCTCTCCTGCATCCCATCCTGGCTCTCCCCTTCTGCAGGCGTCTCCTCAGACAGACACCCTGACTGGGTTCCCACTTCTCTTTGTCGAAAGGGCTCCCTGGTCTCCCCCATCAGGGTCCTTCACGAGGAGACTTGAACGGGGGTCACTGTCCCCTTGGGCCTGCACCTCCCCTCATCGCAGAAATGCTCTTGTCTGTGACAGTGTGGTCTGTGTGTAGCCCAGCCCGCAGTTACCGCGTCTGTGGGTTACCTGACCTTGATCTCTCCCCCATGAAACCACCGGCTCCCTGGTTTCCAGGACACCCTGCTGCCGGTTTCCTCCCTTCTCAGGGCCACTCTTTGTCCAGCTCCTTTTGGTGTCCTCCATGGGCTGAGGGCACCAGCCTTCCCTCCGCCTTGTTGCCGGACCAGCGCTTGGATGTCTGATGAACATCAGGAAAGTAGCACTTCCCCAGACACCCCCTGCCCCGGAGCTGTCCGCAGGGCACTCGGCTCTGGCAGCCTCCCCTCTGGCAACTGAGGCTGGAGACCTCATCGCTGTGCAGAGCTTTCCTCAGGCCCTTGTCCTCTGGGACACCCCGAGAGTGTGGCTTTCTCCCGTCACCACCAGGCCCTGCCCTTGCACAGATGACAGCTGCCACCTCCCGAGCGGGGCCGTGCTTCCCCAGGTCCCAGCCCTTCTGCATCCCTGACCGGACGGCAGGCGGCCTCAGCCTTGCCTCGGCGGGGTCTTGGCCACGTGCTGGCTGCTCCAGGCTTCATCCACGTGGAAGGGGAGCACCGGGCACCTTCTGCAGTCCATGCTCAGATCCGCACCCTCCCTGCTTCCATTCTCTCCAGAACGTCGGCCACGGCGTGTGTGTCTGACTGTCTTCATGACCCGAACCTTCCCTGTACCATAAGCTGCGCGTGGCTTGTCTCGCCGGTTCATGGCCACGACCCCAGGGCCAACGCCTGGCTCCTCTGCCCCGGTCCCTGCGCTCCTGGATTGCTGAGACTTCGCACACAGTGCTTCTGGATGTGCCCGTGCTGGCCGTGGAGGGACGCCCGGCTGCGGCCGGCCTCTGCCATTCACTGGCCCTGCCTTCAGGCAGCTTGGACAACCTTGTGTCCCTGAGCCTCCCTTGTGTGAAAGCGGCATGTGGGCAAAAGTTCCCCAGGCGGAGAGCCGGCTCTGTCCCTGTCTCGGACTAGCTCGGGGACGACGCAGCCCGTGTGACCTGATGGCCCGTGGGAGCCCGGGAGCTGTTGCCGCAGCACACGTTCTGTGGGCGTCAGGTCTGCCGTCGGACCGAGTGCGCGGGTGCTTCCTTCGCCCGGACAGCCTCGGTGCTCGGTGCCCCCGCTGCCGTCTCCCTGGCGTCCCGGGTGCTTCCTTCGCCCGGACAGCCTCGGTGCTCGGTGCCCCCGCTGCCGTCTCCCTGGCGTCCTGGGTGCTTCCTTCGCCCGGACAGCCTCGGTGCTTGGTGTCCCCGCTGCCGTCTCCCTGGCGTCCCGGGTCCTGGCCACCTTTGCCGTGGGGCCGACTTTGTGCTCCCGACGGGGGTCATGGGCGGCAGAGCGGGGCTGCGGGTGGGCTGTGGGTGGGCTGCGGTGTGGGGCAGGCAGTGGTGCCTTAGTGGACCCGAGAGCTCTCCAGGGGCCTCCGCTAGAGAATAGCACTGACGACGTTGCTTTGTTATGCCAAGTAATTTCTCTTTTTTCCTAAAACAGGTTATTTTCGAAGTACCAGTATTTCGACTCACGGGGGATGTTCATTTCCATAGTGTTCTCGGTGCCGCTTCTGCTCAACGCCGTGATCATCGTGGTACGTGCGGGCCGGCCTCCGGGTCCCGGTTCTCTGTGTGCTTCCCACTCTAACCCGTCTCACGACGATCGCTTCCAGGTGATGTGGGTCCGGAAGACCTTGGATGTGATGACTGACCTGAAAACTCTGCAGGAGAAGCGAAGAGGAAGGAAAAGGAAAGGAGAGTGACGCGGGAGGTCGCGTTGGTTTTCTTGGGGGCACCGGGTTTCCTCCGCGTCGTCGTCGTGGGCCTCCCTGTCAGCGCCCCGCACGTCTGCACGGAGGGTCCGCGCCCCAGAGCACACCTTGCTTTGCCCTTTAAATAAACGTGGCCAACACTGCCGTCTGTGTGGGTGTGTGTCAGCCTGGATCTGTGTAGGGTTTGCTCTCTTCCTGGCTACAGTGTGTCCGCCGGTGGTGTCTGCACCGAGCTCCCCGTAGTTCTCTGAGCTGTTGGTGTCGCTCGTGTGATTAGTCGTAGTTACAGCACCTGCGGCAGCATGAAAACTTGGAACCAAGTGATAAACAGTGCTGTCCCTGTGAGGCACCATCACGCTCTACTTCCTGGGCCGTGGCCACCGGTGGCCCTCCATGTGGCATGTGGCCAAGTCCGTGGCATTCTGGGTTGTCCCTGGAGGGCTGGAGCCCAGGGACAGTGTCTGCACTGGGGAGGATGCCGTTCAGAACCGTAGCGGGGCCGAGGTTGGGAAGCTGTGGCCAGAGCCTCCTTACGTGCGGCCCAGCAGCAAGGTCCTGAGAAGACGCGTGCCTCAGAGCGCGGGGAGCCAGGGGTCAAGGCTTCCGCGAGCCCCGCACAGTCGTCCTTGGACAGAGGGAACTTGTGGCCCCTTGGGTTCTCACAGTCGCTATGGGTGCTGTGGTTCGAAGGCCTTGATTCCGTGGAACGTCTGAATGAGCCTGTGGAGGAAGATTTTCGGGATGTACGATTATGAGTACAGGTGTCGGCACGGATAGATTTTTTATAACAAGTAGCAAAATTACATTCCTTCCTAAATTTCGTTTTTAAAGAAGTAAATTCATGTGCTCAGGAACATGCTGTGGGTTTTACTGGAACAGATCTGCCGTTACAGAGTCCCCTTCCCAGTCTGCCGTCCATGCTCCGGGTTCTGTCCGGTGTGGGCCAGAGGGCCACCAGGGAGGAGAGGTCCGGGTGTGTAAGTGCACAGTGTTCGGTAGAGGGAATGCCGCTGGCTGCTCCCGTGGGCTTGAAAAACAATAGTTTGCAAATAGTTTAATAAATTTTAACGAGATTTTTCTTTCCAAGTGAAACATATTCTTCAAATTTCAAAAAGAAAAAAATGTCCTCATGAAAGTACTTAACGTTTAGCAGCTGCAGAGGTGACGCTGAAAGGTCTTGAAATCCCGACGTACGACGTTTCATGGACCGTCACGAAATTGTGTAGAGAAACATGAATTCCGACAGTTTTACAAGTGAGTTGACAGAATGTTCTAGCTAGATCCAGTGTTGCTACCCCAACGTGTTTTCCAGTTCCGTCTCAGTGGGTTATTTTAGGTATTGAGCACGAGAGACGACTCAAAGGAGCGTCTGTGTTCAGTCCGGTCGTCAGCCTCTTGTGCCCGCAGCCCGTGCGTGGACGCTCCCCTCGGGTGCGGACTCGTGCCGTGGTCCCCGGAGAGTCCCCACGGCCCGGCCCGGGGAGGAACCACGTGAGCACGCGCGAGGCAGGCGCAGGACGGCTCGTCACCCTGGCTGTGGCGGGAGGGGCCACAGCAGAGTCCACTCCCCGTCATGATTTGGATGGTCAGAGCGCAGGCCCGTCTGAACTCCACAGTGTGACCACGTTGGTAACGGGGCCTGTGCGCTGTGGACACAAGACTGGGGCCCTTTGTCTTCCACTTGCGCGTATGCAATGTTGAGGGGGAAGTGGTACTTCGTCTTCACACACACACACACAAACACCTTTTTTCCCTGTAAGTTCATGTAAGTTCACGTAAGTTCACTGAATTCTGGTGGCCAGAATTCAGTGGGAACCGTCGTCTGTCAAGCTCAGGAAGATCCTGCGAGCCAGACTGGTCGGCAGAGGGCAGGGCGGCAGGAAGTGTGCAGACTGCGGACCGCGGCGAGGAGGCCGGGGCTGAGTGCGGGGAAGGGTCCGGAGGTTGTGTCCCCCGCTATCGAGGGAAGCAGATGTTTAAGTATTTATAAACAAAGACAAGAAAAAGGAGATTTATGATAAAAATACACTATATTCCAAATCTGTGGCACCTTCAATTTCTTGATTGGTGTGAAACAAAAGACATATTTAATAACGTATAGCATTTCCCCCCAAATTGCCCATTCGCTTGACTTTTGTGCACACGGAGCAGGAGCTCCAGAACGTTGGCTCTGCTGGCAGGGCCACTGCTTCCTGCTCCTGGTGTTGAGCTCCCCAAACCCAGAAATTCGGTTTTGTCAGAAAATCAGCACAGGCACGGACACGCGTGTTGAGTAAGAAAGCAGCACAGAAACCTGCGTTAGTTCCTTGACAAAGTTGCAAGGACATGCTAACATGTTCTCACCCTTTACAAAACATTCAAAGGCAAGAAAAAATTAATTTGGAGTATTTATTGAGTAGGGATTTAGAATACGGAATTTCAGTGGAAATGACACCGAACACAGACAATGAGCTTTGGGGGTCCAGGTCACCCGCTGGGCCCCTGACAGCTGCTCTATCTTGGGAAAGTACTTCCTGTTCCGAACATCCTCCTTTCACCGCGTTTTAGAGAACACGTTTTCAGGCCGTCCTGCATCATTATCAGAAAGATGAGGAGGAGTGAGAAGCCTTACTAATCCTTAAGGACAAACGGTCTTTTCTTAAAAAGCTGTGTTTATTATAATAAATAATAATACAAAATATAGTAAAGAATAAGTTAATATTTATTAATAAAACACATATAAAATATAATAAGAACCATTATTTATTAAAGAGACACTCCCAGGAGGTTCCATGCCTGACACAGGGCTCGATCTCCTGACCCTGAGATCATGACCTGAGCTGGAACCGAGTCGGATGCGGAACTGACTGAGCCCGCCGGGCACGCCCGGGAGTAATGATCTCAGCAAACACTTACACGTGGTGCCCAGTGCTGGGCTGCTCGTGGGCTGCATGACGCTCCAGCGGCCTTGGTGGGAGAAGCAGGAGCACCTTCTGTCCTCAGCCCTGCTGTGGCCTCTGGCCAGCCTGGCCTGCCAGCTCCCGTCCCCGAGTGTGCGTGATGCTTGGGAGTCCATCGCGGCCCGTCTGCGTTGGTTCTCGGATGGACGCGCCACCTTCACTCTGGGGAAGTGGCAGCTGTTCTCTCGAGAGTGTTGTTGGAAAGCTCTGGCACTTCCCACCGGCCAGGCTCCAGGCTGGTAGCCCAGGAGGGACCCCTGTCTCCATGCACACTCCGTGGACACTGAGCCAGGGCAGTGGCTCCCAGAGAGCCTCGCTGGCCAAGGGGAGATGCAGAGTCCCTGGACTTCTGCCCGCCTGGTGCCCCTGCACTGGTTCTGGCCTGTCCGTGCTTCTGGAATGCCTGACGATGCCTCTGTCTCCACTGTCCGTCTCGTTTAGCTCATGTTTCCTCTGTGATTCCTGTCCCCCTTCCTGGTGCCTCCTTGCAGCTCGGCGGAGCCCCAGTCCCAGTGCATAGGACCCGAGAACCTTCAGTCTCCATCCGTTGACCCTGCCCACGATGGTGCGTTTTTGTCCGTGGTCTTGGCTTCCCTTTGTTTGTAATTTCCTTTCTGCCTCCTCAGCCTCGCGCCCGGCACTGACCCTTCGGCCTCCAGCCCTGGTTCAGAGATGGTCTGGTGATGGCATTTGGGCTCCCGTTCCACTGTGAGCCTGAGTTACGGGTCATCCCCGGACACAGAAAGTGACTTGATGGTCCCCACCTGTGCCCGTGCTTGACCGCAGCCCAGGAAGCCCAGGTAGCAGGCAGACCCTCTTAAGTCTGTTTTGCTGTTTTCTCTCCCAGCCAGCTCTGGCTGGGGTCTCCTGTGGACTTCATCCGTCCCTGAGAGACTGAGCCGGTCCCCCTGGGCCTGAGCCCTGCCGGCCACTTGCAAGGTTTGCTCACAGTCATGAACCTTGGATGGGGGAACTCCAGCCTGCCCAGGTCCGCCTTGCTCCTCTCACAGAGTCTCCGGCGTGTTCCAAACAGAAGGAAATTATCACGTGTCTATTTGATGCCCCTACGTTTTTCCTGAAAGTCAATTTCCTATTAAAAAACAGTATAGGGGCGCCTGGGTGGCTCAGTGGGTTAAGCCGCTGCCTTCGGCTCAGGTCATGATCCCAGGTCCTGGGTTCAAGCCCCACATCGGGCTTTCTGCTCAGCAGGGAGCCTGCTTCCTCCTCTCTCTCTGCCTGCCTCTCTGCCTACTTGTGATTTCTGTCAAATAAATAAATAAAATCTTAAAAAAAAAAACAGTATAAAGTGTTTTTTCAATTCCTTTTATCAGTCCTATTTCAACATATGGCATCATTTTCAATGACTACACAGTAGCCAAGCCACATACGTTCAGTTGGTTTAAGCGGTTACTGGCACTGGGGATTCAGAGTTTTTCTACTTGTTTTCCTAAGGTTAGCAACACAAAAATCTCTGACTTCAGAGGCGTACCTTTATGTGTTAATTATTGACCTGGGCAATAGCAAACTGTGGAAGGAGCCGAGCTGCCCTTCCACAGACGCACGGATAAGACGTGGTCCACCTGCACAACGGAGCATCACGGACCCGTCAGAAAGGAGAACGCCCGCCACCTGCCCGGACGTGGATGGAACTGGAGGGGATGACGCCGCGTGAAGTCAGTCAGCCAAAGACAATTTCCCTACAGTCTCACTCGTGTGTGGAGCGTAAGGAATCGCAGAGGACCACAGGGGGAGGGAGGGAAAACGATGGGAAGAAATCAGAGACAAACCATGAGGGAGACAAGCTGAGGGTTATGGAGGGGAGGGGTGGGGACTGGGTGAGCCTGGTGGTGGGTACTAAGGGGCCTGTGCCGTGATGAGCACTGGGTGTTATATGCAACTAAAGAATCATTGAACCCTACACCAAACACTAACGATGTACCATATGTTGGCTAATTGAATTAAAAAAATACTGACGTGGAATAAATCTTACAAGTGAAATTAAGTCAAAACATGTAATCGTTTTATCATAGTTGATAAATACCGTTAGGTCAGGCTTCAGGAAGTGTCTGCACGTGTTTCTTTGACCTCATCTACTTTAGGAGACAACATTAAAGACACTTTCCTGATGAGCGAGCACAGATTTTATCTCATCATTTAACTTCCATTGTTTTAACTTCTGTCTAACTTTCAGCAATGCTAACATTTTTCAAATG